GACCGTTAAGCAAGTGGCAGACAATGAAATGCTCAATGGATTATAGGAATTGATGGAAATATCCTTTTAGTAAGTATGCGGGAGCTACCCTAGCTCATTCTCTTAAGGGGTGGGCGATGGGTTATCTCCAATATATCCTTGCCTTGCTCATAACCTTATTTCCAAAATATTTCATTTCCCTCATTATAATACCATTCAATTAGGGGAGGGTATTATATCTTCATGCATGATGTGGGCAGTTGTATTGCATAATAAACCGAAGTTCCATTGTGTCGTTTTACGATTAGGGTAAATGTTAAAACTCTTGTTTGCCATGAAATTTTAGTGCCAACTAACTTATAAAATATTAAAACACTAAAAGTTTATGCATGTCATAAATGCAATTTTTTAAGGCAGATTCCCTCGCTGCGATCTTATGGGAAAAAATAATGAGATGAAATTCAGAACTGTAAGTCTGTAATCGTCATAGCTTTCGATCGCAGTTACATGGAAGATATAGTTTTCCATAGCATTGCAATTTTTTATGACCCGTTCTTAAATCTGAACATATTTATTTTAAAAGTAATTAATTGAATTGATTTATTAATCAGATTGTATAGTTTTTGACTAGAGTTAACCAAATTTCGAACGTATTCCTTGATCCTTTTTAGGTGAACTTGGAATTGTTGTATTGCCCAATTGGCACGGAGAATGGGTTTGCTGACCCTTTTGATGATAATTTTTCAATGACTTCGTTAGAGAAAGTTCTTAAAAGTGGTGCAGAGTTGAAAGAAAATGGAAGCAATGTCAAAAGAAGGGAGGTAATTGTACGGGGGGTACTTTCGGTCACTGTGATATCTGCTGATGACCTTCCCGCAGCTGATCTTCTTGGGAAAGCTGATCCCTATGTTGTTCTAACTTTAAGGAAAGCTGGTACAAAGAACAAAACAAGGGTATGTTGCTTTTTGTATTCCTGATATGATAACCTTCCTTTGGTTTTCTCCTAGGTTCTATCTGTAAGAGGGTTTGGGACTTCGGAGGTATTTGGAGGAATGGAGGGCAACACTTTGGAGTGCTTAGTCTATATTTTGAGAAATTGAATGTCTCTAAAACTAAATAGAAGTTGATTAAAATATTGTACGATCTTGAATATTATGTTGATTTTTACATTTTATAACATATTGAATACACACACCCACATAGAATTTGGTTCAAATGAGAATACGATTTAAGGAGAGAAATGAGAAAGATTCTAGCGTTCGATTTGGGTGTCGTGCATTATGCAAAACAGAAATGTGCATTATCATAACTTAGAAATTGTGCATTTGAAATGTGCATTATTTAATTATTAATGTGCACCTCTAAATGTGCATATTTATAGTTCACGGAGATGCACATTTATAGGTAAAATAATGCATAGTCCAAATGTGCACATTTGGTATTAAGCTAATGCACAGTTCAAATGCACATTTTCTAATTTATGATAGTGCACATTTCTGTTTCACATAATGCACAATATCCAGCATTCCAGTGTCATTCTCATTTCTCTTAGATCATGTTCACACACTAAAAAAGCCTCTTCCAAGCCCTCTATCCAAATAGATCCCATGGACCATTTGGATAGAGCATTTTGGAGTGGATAGCTTTGGAGGCCCAAGTCTATTCAGAAATGTTTGAGATTTTATAAAAATTAGAGTACAATAACGGGTGATCATAAAACTTATCAATCACCTTTATATGTTCCTAGAAACATCCTATTTGTCAATATATAGACTTAAGACATGTATGACATTTAGCCGATAGCGGATTGTTAATAGCGGATTCACTTAGCGGGTTTGAATAGTGGAATAAGTGGGCTGGTTGTAAAAAGATGTTTCGTAATTTAGTTGTTTGGCCGTATCAATTAGTAGGAAATGCGTTATTTCAAAACGCTAACCCAAAAACGCTGCCATTTGCAGCGTTTTCGTCCAAAAACGCTGCCATTTGCAGCGTTTTCGTCCAAAAACGTTTGGGACGAACAACTATTTACCAAATATCGTTTTCACTTATTGAAAACACTAAAGAGTAACCACTATTTTTTTTTGCTGAAACACCATTTTTCAAACACATCCTTAATCTTTCTTTCCAAATCCTCCATCCAACCTAATCTTTAAGTTACTCGTGGAAATGATCAATGAAATTCTGTATTATTCTTTTCTTGTTTTATTTTGAGACCATGACGCAATAATTTATTACTTTCATAGTATGCATGGGAAAGCAATATATTCAAGTTGTTAGCATAAATACGGTCTTTTTCGTTTTTGCACTTCTAGGTTGTCATGAAAAGTTTGAATCCAGAATGGAATCAGACTTTTGACTTTCTTGTTGAGGATGGATTGCATGACATGCTGACTCTAGAAGTCTGGGATCATGACACCTTTGGAAAGGTAAATATATTTTTATACGTGGGAATAAGTCGGATCTTCTTGGTTTCCCTCTCATTTTGTCCCTCTTCTTAGATTGTCCTTTGCTTCTCGAGTCCCTTGTTCATGCATTAGGGAGTTGGACAACATATCTTGCTTGTAATCTTTAATCCAAACATATATGTAATATGTATACCTTAATCTCAACACAAATGAGATTACATCATAGACTAATACTAGGCTAGAATTCTAAAAGGGGCAAAAGGAAATTTAGGGGAGGTTAGATATTGATTAATATGCACATGTTTTTCGCTCTGTCACTTTGTGTAGGATTACATGGGACGATGCATCTTAACATTGACGAGGGTGATAATGGAAGGTGAATATAAAGAATCCTATGACTTAGATGGTACCAAATCAGGAAAGCTCAACTTGCATCTCAAGTGGACACCACAACCGATTTACAGGGACACCTAACTCACAAACGTTTTTTGTGACCTTCCTGATTTTTGTAGATTCATTGCCAGAACTCAGAAGCTTGAGAGATTGTCATTGTAACGTTGTGGTGTACATAGTATAGTTTCATTGTTTAGCAGAGATTTATGGAGAAGGCACATAGCTACAAATCTCTAGTACTGAGTGCGTTGAAGTGAATTGAAAAAAAAATTGACAGAATTATATAAATAATATAGTTATATAGGTCATTAGGAAATCCAGTTTGATAAATGTTCCTTCCTTTTTACTTGATAGGTTTTGCATTGTCTTCTAGGTTTTAATGTTTTATATATCAAAATATCAGCAGACAGCAATGCTTTCAAGTGTGTCTTGCTGAGTGAGCACTTTGTATAGGCGTACTTTTCAGTGTTTGTTTCTTGTTTTTGTTACCTGTTATTATGGAGTGTTTCTTTTTGCACGGCATGGATTTCCTCAACATTTGATTTTGGGTTCGCGTTTTATTTTCTTGAAGCACACCTCAGGCAAAGTAGTGAGGTGCAAAGTAAAAGAATGACCTGAAGAGGAATAATACAAAAACTCTCATTCTCATGAAAAATCAGAATAAATTTAATGTGATAACCTCCAGCACTTGACATCATCTTAATGTGGGAAGTTTTGAGTTTAAGTCACTTAGGAAGTGAATTTGAGATGATTTTCACAAATGGTGATCTTTTAGTCTTTGGGGTTAGCTCGAGTGGTCGTGCACTTGTGCACTTGTTGTATCCTCTTGCCTCAAGCGGGAGTGTGAAAGTTGGTTTTTTATTCGGAATCTGGTGATGTTTGATCATTTAATGTTGGTTATATGAGGACATGTGGAGAATGATTTCTTCCGTGCGGTGGTGTATAAATGATGCTTGAAATCTAGTGAGTTGTTCAAGTGATTTTGCGATTTTGGATTTACATCTCTCAAAGACTTAGGGACGAGTTCTTGAGAGCTTAGAATTAGTCTAATGAAGTCAGGATTACCTCATGCTAACAACAAAGAATAAATAAAATGCACTAGATTTATGACCTAATTTGGATACAAAAACATAGTAGGGCTGGACTCGGTTCGGGCCGGGGCTGGTTCGGGCCTTGAACCGGCCGGGCCTCGGTTCACCAAAAGGAGGGCCCGGGCCCGAACCGGCAGGTGACCGGTTCCGGGCCAGACCGGGTCGGTTCACCCGCCCCATTCTTTTTTTTTTTTGATTTTTTGGCTTCTCTTATTTAACCCCCTACCCCTCCCCCTCAACCCCAAACCACCTCAAATGGCCCAAAATACCTAATCCAACCCAAAAATTAAAAAAATTTCAAAAAAAAAATTAAAAAAAAAATTATTCCGGCCCGGACCGGGCCCGAACCGGCCGGGCCGGTTCACCAAATAGAGGGCCCGGGCCCGGAACCGGTATCCACCGGGCCGGTTCGACCCGAACCGCCGGTGGACCGGGCCACCGGGCCGGGCCGGTTCACACAGTAACCGGGCCGGTTCCGGTACGGGCCGCCCGGCCCGAGTCCAGCACTAAAACATAGTGACATTTTCGTGAGTATATAAGGGTTATATTACTAAATATATTCAAAAGTGGATAACAAAGATTCTTCGAATGTAATAGTGGACCACATATGAGCAAAGGTGAAGTTGCTTTGCATAATTGCATGTGAACACTTTATTAGACTCGACCTAAACTTTGATTCAAATAAAAATTACATTTTATTTCTTATGTGAAAACTTAGAGGCATTGGCAATTTGTAATTTGGCATTTGCAATTTGTAATTTGCAATCTAATCAGGGGAGCTCAACTTGCAATCCAATCTAGAGTATTTTGCAATCCAATCTACATTTGAGTCCTCTTCAAATGTCAATCTGATTTTGTAAATTACAGTATTTGATTTTTTTTTTCACAGCATATATCCAATGTAATATATTACTGTAATATATAACCAATCGTATAATGTCATTCTGTTAATTTTATATAAAACCAACTTGCAAGAATAACTTATCATTCTCCATGTCCTCCTAAGAAGCAATACCCAAATTTTATCTGTAATTTTTTTATTCCACTTAAAAGTGTGAATAAGTACAAACGTGTGAAATACAGTTGCCATTTAATTCATAGGGCCGCCCACTAAATGTGACTATAGTGCAAGTGGCGCAAGAAATAAGTTAATGGTTTAGTGTACGAAAACTGTCATATTCTAATGTTTGTAATAAGTTTTATGCAACAAATAACCAGTTTATGTAGCTTGTGGCTAACTGCTAAAAATTAAAGTCTTTGAGCTCTGGATTTTCTGTGATATGGTGTAAAGGGCGTGTTTGAAAGAAGAATATAATGATCCAAGAAAAGGGTCAGAAGAAAGAGTATCATTTACCGACCACCGATGGATCACCGGCGGCGAGGAAGAAGAGAAAATGTGATTTGGTGTCTTATCAAGAATTGCCAGAATATATGAAAGACAATGAATTTATTCTGAATTACTACAGAGCCGAATGGCCCCTTAAACAAGCCCTCTTCAGCATTTTTAGGTGGCACAATGAAACTCTCAACATTTGGACGTGAGTATATTCGACCATTCTTGTTATTATTAATTTTCCCATGTTATTATTCACTTAATTTTGGTTTATCAGCTTAATTAGTTTGTGTTTTTCTTCTCTAACTGCGCAGGCATTTGATTGGTTTTGCTCTGATTTTGGTACTAATTGTGGCAAATTCTTCCCATTTATATCAGTTAGCTGATTTCATGACAGTGGTCTTAAGGTAACACGCACACACACTCTATATGTATATGTGTGTGTGTGTGTATTATAAATTAATTTTTTGGTACTTTTGATTTATTTTGTCTTAAATGTCATGAATAACGAATTGGGGTTAGTTGGAACCAACACACAATGAAGAATGATCAACTTAACAATTTTATTAATTGAGTTAATGATAACTAGATTACAGAAGAGTATATATAGGATAAGAGTTCAAAAAAGAACTACAGTGTGGTTAGGGAAAGGAATGGTTATATTTTTTGGAAAGGGTTTAGTAATTGATTACTCCGTATTATTTATAATGATGTAAACCAAAAGTTTGAGTGACTTTGAAAAGATGCATAGATTTACTTACAAACTTATAACTACAATTCAATTCATAATTTCTCATGTTATGAGTTATATCGATTTGCATTATGTGTGAATGGGAAAGAATGTGTATGCTATGAACTATTTGTGGCTTCTCAAGTTAGATGAATTCCCTATCTGAATCGTTTTCCTTAAACAACATGGTGATGGAATTCCATAATTTCATTAACTTTATGGTCATGGTTGATTTGTTTCGTACAGGAACTTCCCTGCTGGTTCAGTGGCCAAGATTTCTAGGAATACAAAGGATATTTTGCAGGAATGATCCCTTTTTTCTTTTGTTTGTTTTCGATTTCTTTTGAAATCGTAAATTGAAACTGATACGTCATCGGATAGTTATTTTTTCAAGTTTTGTTATTAGATGTTGTGTCAAATAAGATTTTAGTATTACTATTAAGGTATTAAGATGTAACCTCAAGTCTTGATAATATTGAACTACTCTGACTAAGCACTAGGCCTATATGTCCCTATTTATATGGCGAGTTATACAACATTGTCTCTTTTTGCTATTGTGCAGGGAGTGCCAACTCGAATGGTTGATTGGATGATGACAGGTAAAGAATCACAAATGGTCATAAAAACAGGAGAGATGAGTGCTGCATCAACATGGCCATTGTACGTCTTCTTAGCGGGTTCAGTGTTCTGTTTCCTATCAAGCAGCATATGCCACCTCTTCTGTTGCCACTCCCAACCCATGAACCTTGTACTGACCCAAATGGACTATGTAGGAATAGCCGTCATGATATTCACCTCCTACTTCCCTCCCATGTACTACATCTTCCAATGCTCCCCACCCTGGCACATCGTCTACCTAACCGGGACCTCCATCATTGGCATATGCATTACCCTCACTCTCTTAACTCCCGCGTTTGCAAGGGGTAAATATAGGTCATTTCGGGCCTGTTTATTCATTGCCATGGGGCTATTTGGGCTGATTCCCGCTATCCACGCTCTGGTTGTATACTGGAGCGACCCTTACAGGTATTATATGAATTAGCAATAGGCTTCCATTCGTATCTGCATTAGTAAATATAAGAAATGTCCTGAAATTAAGTTTAGTTATGATAATCAATTTCCAGTATTAGGAGTGGGAAACTGAGTCATGTGCTATTGGCTGCGGAAAAACCTTTTAGAAAGGCCTAAAATTTGGTGATTTAACAGGCACTGAATATCATGAATTAAATATGAATGCTCTGGGAGTCTTCTTCTATGGTGATGAAAGTCTTCTTAGACTGTTCACGTTTGATGTCTTCTTATGATTACTCATTTACTCCTAAACTATAAGAATCAAAATTTCATCAATTGTAATCACGTATCGAGAAAAAGCCGTTAGTCCTATTACCAGTCTTTCGATAATAACCAAAAGAAGGTAAAATTAAGAGTGTTTTGAATTTGAGATCTATATTTATGATCTTATATTTTTTATGTATATAAAATGTTAGTATCAATACATCAAGTTTTTTAAGTATGAAGTTCATGATTGATTCATACTTTATACATTTAGAGAAACTTGTTTACACCTGCACCTCTTTATTCTTATACTCCATCTGTTCCCAATAATACATCCTGGTTTGAATTGACACGCTTATTAAGAAAGTGGAATAAAGTGGAAATGTATGGTTGTAGTTGTGTAAGAAAAAGGTAAAATGAATGTGAGCCACACAAATTGTCCAAAAAAGGAAAGTTGGAAGTATTTTTTGGAACCGCCCAAAAAAGAAAGTGGGAAGTATTTTTTGGAACGGAGGTAGTATGTTCTTATTGTTCTTCAGCATTTCGTTTCTTGTTTTCTTCTAACGAGTTTCATTCTCATGGTACATAATGGTCAACTTTCTAGGAAGAGAAACATATAGATTTCATGTGTGGATTTGTTAAATGTATACTTAACAACAGGAATGTGATGCTGGCTTACGAGGGAGCCATGGCTTTGTTTTACATCATTGGGGCGATGTTCTATGTGAGCAGAATTCCAGAGAGATGGAAACCCGGGGCGTTTGATTTAGTTGGGCAGAGTCACCAGATCTTCCATGTGTTTGTCATCTTTGGTGCTTTGGCACATTACGGTGCGGCGCGCGTTTTCTTGGAGTATCGCAGCAGGCTCGGTTGCCATCGAGGTGATTAACAAACGGGGATCCACACTTAAACTGTTTGCCGCATCAGTTGAGGGAAATGCTCACTGTATTTAATACTGATAGCATTTTTTGTTCCTAAACTGAGAGAACACTGTATGTGTGAGCATGCAAAAACAAAATGTTGTTAGTTTTCAAGGAGGTTAGAAAAACTAAAACTGGTGGTTAGAAGTTGTCATACTTATTCTTGCAGTCTTTCATTGAATTCGTGCTTCAACATCAACTAAAATATACTCCTAAGAATTAATTCCATTTTTGGTCCTACGAGTTTTGTGTCAATTTCACTTTTAATTCACATCTTTCATTTTTTCCACTTTTGGTACCTGACTAATGTTTTTTAACCGTTTGTGGTCCTTTTGCCGCGATTTTAACCATCGGAAACAATGCCAGAAGGATCATATAAGTGTGAGAACCCAATTGTCATGTATCAAAAGTGAACAAAGTGAAAGATGTGAACTAAATATGTAAATGACCTAAAACTCGTAGGATCAAAAGTGGAATTTCCCCCTACTCCTAATAAGGAGTACTTGTATGAATTGACTCTTGAGATACTCAATGAATTATAATTTTTTTTCTTAAAAATAAAACAACGCACATTCTTTTATAAAAATAGTTTGTAATCATCAAATATAATATAGTTTGGTCTGATCAATCATTGTTATCTTTCAAAGAGGTGATCATATATTCGAGCTCATCCATCGAAATTGACACTATTATTAAATACACAACGTTTTTTTTTTTTTTGATCATATTAAATACACAACGTTAATAAATTAAAACTCATAAAAATGTGACAGTATATGAAATTAACTAGTCCCTTTGCTCATCACATCAAATGTGCTTTATTGTAAGCACATTAACGTGCTTAATGAAGTTGATTCTTTCAAAAAATGTTTCAAATATTTTGTTTTTGTTTATGAATTAACATAAGCATACCTCTTTTATTTCAAAAACAATTCATACATAAATGTATTTATTTCAAATTTTAACTTTAACTATATAGGGCTTCGACTATGTCGGCCGCTGGAGCCTTTTTCCGATTTCGACTTTGTTATCCCTTGGTCGCTGGTGCTCGGCTGGAGTCCAGGTCAGACGCGGAGGGCGGAAATCGGTGGAGGGGGGCGGATTTGCTGTCATGGCTCGAGGAGATCGGCGTTGTGGTCAAGGTTCAAGGATGCGGTGTTGCTATCGTCGTTGGAGAAGATCGGCGCTGCCTATCCGTTTACTCTGGTCGCACGGAGCAGGGATGAGTTTGGTTATGCAGGGACGGAGGATTGATGCATGGTCTTTGGCAGCCAAATGTCATGGAGGATCAATTAGCATGGTACCGGTGGTACGACGTCCTCCTGAACTACCACCATGGGATGTACGAGGTGCTAGGGTTCGTGAAAGTTTTTCTTCTAATTTTTATCTGTTTGTTATTTGTTTTCTTGTGTCCTTTTTTGTTGTTGGTTTTAACAATTTCTTTGAGTTTTTTGTCTCTCTTTATGTCATTGGGTATGGTTGGATCTATGGGAACAGGTTTGGCTGTGTCAAGTCCACTACATGGTTAGCGATTCGTGTTGCTCTCTCAGGGCTGTGTCACCATAGGGTTACAGTCTTAGTTGTTGAAGTTTCAGTTGGTGTCAGTTTTATTTTCTCTTTGCTTGATGTAATGATCCTGAATCTTTAGATATGAATAGAGATCTGTTTTGATGATAAAAAAACTTTAAGGTATAGTGACGACTTTGAAATCATACTTTTCTACATTGCTTTCATATTTTTTTCTATGAAATTTGATCTTACCTAATTCAATGGAAACGAAAATTTATCTTTATTCTTATCCATCATAATATTCTTTTATATTGTTGAACAATACAATGTTCTTTTATTTCACAAAAAAATCATGCATAAATGTATTTACTTCAAATTTTGACTTTAACTGTACTTACTACTTAGCATAAATTTACCTTTATTCTTATTCATCATAATATTCTTTCATATTGTTGAACAATACAATATTCTTTTATTTCACAAACAATTCATGCATAAATGTATATATTTCAAATTTTAACTTTAACTGTACTTAGCGACCACTTTGAAATCATACATTTCTACACTGCCTTCATATTTTTTTTCTAAGAAGTTTGATCTTACCTAATTTAACGAAAATGAAAATTTACCTTTATTCTTATTCATCATAATATTCATTTATATTGTTGAACAATACAATATTTTTTTTAATTACTTTTATTCAATCAGTTAAATGTATTAAACAACTTTAGCCAAATTTTACACATGGTTTAAACTATAAATACGGAATCCTTTTCAAAAATATTACTAAAATAAAACTTATTTATGCAAATATGACTAATAGTTTTTTTTTATTATAAAAGAGTGTCTGTTATATTAAAATCAAGAACACATGCAAGACAACCTTCATTCAGAATTTACGGATCCAATCGTGAACCCTAGGAATAGACTTAGAGTCAGCCACCTCATACAAACCAACATGACTCGCTAAACCTGAAACGGACAAATTTAGGTCTAAAACGACCGGAACCACAACCCTGTCTATCAAAAGAACTCCAAAAATCCAAACATTCAAACCAAATCTACTCGGACTAAAACAGAAACAATTGCTACTAAAGTGAAAATAATACTAAAATAAAATATTTTCACAAAGCTCTTCCTGGAATCCTGGTATGGAGTGGTTCCGGATGAGGACAAACTCTTGCAATATAGGTGAATAACAACTCCACAACCGCCGGAATGGCCGACCAAAGTTTCACTATCCAGTCTAGATACAACCTCCCAGCCGCACTTCATTCATCCACAAACGCTATCTCATCCGACGTAGTTGCAATCCCAAACGTTAGAACACTTAAAATCAATATAATACGGAGTTGCATCCCAGACGTAGTTGCAATCTCATCTAACGTAGTTGCAACCCCATATTGATGGACTAATATGGAGTAGTTATTACGGTATTGTTATAGTCACTTAATTTTAAAAAATTGAACATAAGTTCTATGATTGAAATACGGCTATAATTACTAGTAATTTATTTCCTAAATTTGATGAAGCAATGAATTTTTAAAGGTAAATGGGGTATCCAAAGCAAAGGATCACAGACCATCATCAACACCTCAGATAAAAACATTGAGACCAGTGACTTGAAATTGGAATTCATAGTGTCAATGAAACAACAAATGCGTGGGAAAAAGCAAATATTCTTTTATACAATATGGATAGTCGATACCACAGGTTCTTATTTAAATACCACCGCAAACGTCCCAGGAACCCTGATTTCAAACCAGAATAGGAGATGACTGTCCTTAAGTGAAGCTAAGGCAGATAGATGATAGCTAAATGCCTGAATTCAGATTTGACTGCTAGAGGGCCTGTTAAAGATAACAGAATGAAGATGAGATTTGCTCAACTTTCTTCGTCTTCTTTGGTTGCTCCCCCTGCATGCCAAACAATTTACACTTTCAAGAAAGTCTGATTGAAATATGACAAAATGACATAATGCATCTATTTCTACAACCTTATAGTGTTAGTAAATGAGACAACTAATTGACACGGACATTCAGGTCATCAACTCCAACGTAATTGAGATAAATTATCTTTCTTCACGTTTGAGAAGTGTGACAACAAAGTGCCATTTGAGATAAATTATCTTTAATCACGTTTGATGATTAAAAAAGCAGATAGAGTAGCATTTTGTTGTTTTTGAAAGAAAAGCAGAAAAATACACTTAAAAAAAATCTCAGATTATGTTTTTCAACGATTTAGGAACTCTTTAAAACTTCAACCAAACTGACATCTTTGGTTTGGAAAAAAATGGAAGAGGAAAGGAAGTAGATTTCAGGAGAAAATATGGGAAGGCCCATCAAAGTCAAATTGAACTTACCAATACTGGTTGTGTAAAACGAAAACGTCTGTTGCAACTCTTTTCCCGTCATCATTCCGGTTCCAATGGTAGAGCGCATGTGTTCTATTCTTGATCTCTAACGTAGAATGGCCATAACTAGCTTCTCGAAAAGCAGAATACTCAGGTTGGGGATCTCTAAATCTGCATTATACGTGAGTGAGAAAATTATAAATATTATAGTCATAGTGCTAATCTGCTACTATTATTTTCAAAATACTAGTATTAGTTTTATGATATTAACCTTGAACTAAGACCTTCCTGGTTCCCTCCATCTCCAACTGTAATGTAAACCGGAGCCGATTTGTCAGGTAGAGGGTAAGCAACACCAGTTGTTACATTATAGTGGACGTTTGATATGCGATGCTGAATAATATGAAAACACGTTAGCATTCAACTACAAAGACCTGAACTAAAGTTATTAAGAAAGATATGGCAACCAAGTCGTATGTTTGGGAGGTGGTGGAAGAAGGGAAGAGAGGGGTTATTGTTCATTTGCTGAAAATACATTTTCAAAATCATCATCATCATAATCATTTCCCCAATGCCGCAAAGGCTCCCACTTACAGTCGGGTAAGGGGGTTGGATGTATGCCGTCTTACCCCTGTACTAAAGCACAAAGAATTAAGCTTCCAATACGAACACCTTAATGGATTATATCCTTCCTAATATGATAGTATACTTGTTATCAGGTAAACTACATCTTTTCAGCCTACAATGAGATGCTATCAACTTTAGTATTAGCATTTTTTAAAAGATATCTGCCTAAACCCAGATTGATATGTAAATATGAAGAGGTTATTCAAAGCCTGTGTTTTCCGCACTTAGGCCCTGTTTCCATGCCTAATTCAAGGCAGAACTTGTCTGTTGAATTGGGCTAAATCAATCCAAAATGATTCTAAAGAGGTGATACTTACAGATCTCTCATAAGCATGGACATGGCCAGCAAATACCACATCAACTTTGTATTTGACAAACCACTCCTCAAACACAACCCTCATACTTTCACCCTCCATATAGTGGGCTTCATTGCTATTGTAGATAGGGACATGCATGAGGACAATTAACCAAGGAGTCTTCTCCCTGTCCACCCTTGTAAATTCTTCATTAAGCCACTTATATTGAGGTGTATATTTGACTGAAAATGGTGGTGACATAGCATAACATAATTAGTAACTATGGAATATACAGACATTCAATAAAAAATTATCCAATTAAGGTCCCTCTTTTTATTCCATCTCTTTGACCATAAATTCCAGAAACATCTTTCAAAAAGTATGATGGTAATAACCAAAACGAATTTGCATTTCTGATTAAGCTAGAAATTAACGTGAAGCATATTTTGCTACATCTTAGTGACTATTGCAAATCGAAAATAA